TTCATCTGTCTAGCGTCGTAATTTTTGGACGGATTTCACCCTTTTGAATCTATTAGAAACGGTTTTTATAAACATTTTTTTCTTAGTTTTCGCACTTCTCCAGTATTCAATCGCTCTTCTTTATAGTTACAATCTATAGGTTGGTCATCATCTAAGCGACTATCAGAAGATTCTTTATGATGCAGTTGAAATTCTGTATCTTCAATTGTAATGTCTTTATATGGCGCTTTGAAATGGAAAATAGATTCTTCAATGATTTCAGCACCATTGTATTCCTCCATAATTCGTTGCTATATAGTCTCGAAATTATTTGCCAATTTTCGTTCTTTCATTACTCACAGGAATCTCTCCTAACTTCAGCACTTCAAATGCTGACATGAGGATCTTAATAACGTTTATAGGATTGAATCTCATGATGGAAAGAATTCGTTATATACGATTATCAAGAGACGAGGTTTCCGTTAAGCGTTTACATAAATTGAGCACTGTGGAAAATGAAAGTGAACAAAATTGCAGAAATATTCGGAATTATGAATCATACAAGATTACTGGATTGACGCCTTATTTTCGGATCTCGGCGATATGTGCATGGAAATTTGTTGTTTGTTTGGAGTGCTTGTCGCTTCAACAGTGTTATGACCACATATACTGTAACATGAAACTATTACAGCGGTTTCTCCGACATACGAAACCAGCACAATATGAATAATATGTTGAAATACACGGAATAATTCCGATTATTTAGCAAATTTTTTTCTTATTTGGCCGTTGCCGAAGCAGGACAAGATCCCTCCCCAGATGATCATTTCTTTAATACAATTTTCCGTACTGCTTTTCACGATTTCTCTCCTGGGAATTGGTACTACATACTTACTAAACTCGAAAACTTCAAAATCACTACGGAAACATATTATCTAGGATTGCGGGATGGGGTTTCTAGTAAATGTCTAGTTTAACCCCCCCAAATCATTCTATAAGTTCTGTGGTGAATTATCTAGGTTTCTGGTCCATATTTTAGGAGCTGGGAACAGTTTTTGGGGAAACCAATTAGGTCGTAAAATTTGGTTGTTAATACACCACTCTTTGTGTTATTCAGGGCCACGACGAGGACGTGGCGCTATGTAGGCCCTAAACACATCACATATTGGTACGCTCAGATAATGGACACAGAACGATTTTAGATTTTGACGATAATTCCGTACGGGTCACCCAATCACACAAATTTCTCGACCACCTAATATAACTGACTTAACTCGACGAATCCTATGTCCACCGCTACACATCTTCTTCAATTTTCATGGCACTGATTAATACATGTCATGCGGCCATTATCTATATTTTATGGGACAGGATATTATAGTCCAATGTTCAGTTCATTGAGATGTCATTACAATCTGTCAGTCGGGCGAGCATCAACCTGAGAAAGGGTTTCCAATTCATGGCTTTTCAGTACTCGGCCGGGACTCGGTTATTGATTATCTACCAGATTATTGGCTTTCCAGACGAAGGCCATGCATCGAACCGTGTTCGGATGGCCAATTATATGTACGCCATGATTTACCCAAACCTCGGGCCAGCTAGCTACCATTGGCAAACTCTACTTGAGCGACTTATTTTTTATGAGACAATCAGGGCATGAGCCATGTAAAGCATGTAAATATTGTGGCATATTTTTTTTCCATGTCACTCCTATGTTCTATAAGAGATGGAATACGGTAGACGGGTAGAGTATAGGATCCAGAGCCGCATGCATATGATAAGATAGGGTCAATTAGCCAGAACAGGGCAGAAATAGTCGGAATATAAGAAAAAAAAACATGTTACTTTGTCTTATGTACTTAAGGGGCATTGTATTCGATAAACATTTTTTTAAGCAGAATAAAGACGAGCTCGTGCAGAGATTTAGAAGCATTTACTGTGGAATCTCCTATTTTAGCCGTCATGAACATTGAAAAATACTCGTATAATTGCATTGTTTTTATTTTCAGTGTGATGGATCATTGTTGGCGACGGGTAGCTACGATGGGTATGCAAGAATCTGGACAACGGACGGCAGATTATCTTCCACATTAGGACAACACAAGGGTCCCATATTTGCCCTGAAATGGAACAAACGTGGAAACTATATTCTCAGTGCTGGTGTAGACAAAACAACAATTATTTGGGATGCAGCTAGTGGACAATGCACTCAGCAATTCAGTTTTCACTGTGCACCTGCATTGGATGTTGATTGGCAAACAAATACATCATTTGCCAGTTGTTCAACAGATCAGTGTATTCACGTATGTAAGCTCCACGTGGATAAACCCATAAAGAGCTTCCAAGGACATACCGTAAGTATTTCTCTATATTAATAGTCTATTGAGTCAAGACTTTCTGCCCTTGGGAGCAACTTTCCACCCTAGGGTGGAAAGTATTCACTTTCCTCCCGCTTTTCAGGCAGCAAAACACGAAGTTCCCTTTGCAGGCATGTTCAAAAATGGCATGTACATCTCGAGCGGGAAAACATGACTTTCCGTCCTTGATGCACACTGTATTATTTAAACGTATATTGCGCACCAAGGGAGGAAAGCAGGGCACTCTAATCCGTGTGTATATTGCCGACCTGGGGCGAAGCCGAGGGTTGTAAATGCGCGAGTTTTAATCTCCGGTTTCCCTTTTTCGGTGCACATCATTCTTTCTGTCATTACTACAAGGAAATTTGGATTTTTCGTCGCAAATGACGGGACGAATGTAGGTTATGTCATCCCGACGATCCTCAAAAACAACACAAATCTGAGGGATAGAATAGGCCACCTTCTTCCCGTCATTTGGAGAGTAAAATCGAACTGTCCGTGTTCA